CCACCAACAGTGTAAAAGTGTTCCTATTTCTCCACATCCTCTCCAGCATCTGATGTCTCCAGATTTTTTAATGATTGCCATTCTAACTGGCATGAGATGGTATCTCAATGTAGTTTTGATTTGCATTTCTCTAATGACCAGTGATGATAAGCATTTTTTCATATGTTTGTTGGCATCATATATGTCTTCTTTTGAAAAGTGTCTTTTCATATCATTTGCCCACTTTTGAATGACTTTGTTTGTTTTTTTCTTGTAAATCTGTTTTAGTTCTTGTAGATTCTGGATATTAGCCCTTTGTCAGATGGGTAGATTGCAAAATTTTTCCCATTATCTTGGTTGCCAGTTCACTCTAATGATTGTTTCTTTTGCTTTACAAAAGCTCTGGAGTTTAATTAGATCCCATTTGTCTATTTTGGCTTTTGTTGTCAATACTTTTGGTGTTTTAGTCATGAAGTCCTTGCCTATGCCTATGTCCTAAAAGATCAGATGGTTGTAGATGTGTGGCATTGCCTCCAACACCTCTGTTCTGTTTCATTGGTCTATATCTCTGTTTTGATACCAGTACCATGCTGTTTTGATTACTGTAGCCTTGTAGTATAGTTTGAAGTCAGGTAGCATGATGCTTCCAGCTATGTTCTTTTTTTGTAGGATTGTCTTGGCTATGTGGGCTCTCTTTTGGCTCCATATGAAGTTTAAGGTGTTTTTTTCCAGTTCTGTGAAGAGGGTCATAGGTAGCTTGATTGGGATAGCATTGAATCTATAAATTACTTTGTGCAGTATGGCCATTTTCACAATATTGCTTCCTAACCATGAGCATGGAATGTTTTTCTGTTTGTGTCCTCTCTTATTTCCTTGAGCAGTGGTTTTTAGTTCTTCTTGAAGAGGTCCTTCACACATCCTTTGCTAGTTGTATTCCTAGGCATTTTATGCTCTTTGTGGCAATTGTGAATGGCAGTTCATTCTTGATTTGGCTCTCTTTCATTCTGTTATTGGTGTATAGGAATGCTTGTGATTTCTGCACATTGATTTTGTATCCTGAGACTTTGCTGAAGTTGCTTATCAGTTTCAGGAGGTTCTGGGCTGAGATGATGGGGTCTTCTAAATACACAATCATGTTGTCAGCAAATAGAGACAATTTGATTTCCTCCTTTCCTAAGCAAATACCCTTTATTTCTTTTTCTTGCCTGATTGCTCTGGCTAGAATTTCCAATACTACGTTGAATAGGAGTGGTGAGAGAGGGCATCCTTGTCTAGTGCCAGATTTCAAAGGGGATGCTTCCAGTTTTTGCCCATTCAGTATGATATTGACTGTGGTTTTGTCATAAGTAGCTTTTATTATTTTGAGTTATGTTCCATCGATACCTAGTTTATTGAGAGTTTTTAGCATAAAGGGCTGTTGAATTTTGTCAAAGGCCTTCTCTGCCTCTATTGAGATAATCATGTGGTTTTGTCTTTGGTCCCATTTATGTGGTGGATTAAGTTTATAGACTTGCATATGTTGAACCAGCCTTGCATCACTGGGATGAAGCCTACTTCATGGTGATGGATAAGCTTTTTGATGTGCTTTTGCAATCGGTTTGCCAGTATTTTACTGAAAATTTTTGCATCTATGTTCATCATGGATATTGGACTGAAGTTCTCTTTTTTTGTTGAGTCTCTGATGGGTTTTGGTATCAGGATGATATTTGTCTCATAAAATGATTTGGGAAGGATTCTGTCTCTTTGGATTGTTTGGAAGAGTTTCAGAAGTAGTGGTACCAGCTCTTCTTTGTATGTCTGGTAGAATTTGGCTGTGAACCCATCTGGACCTGAGCTTTTGTTGGTTGGTAGGCTACTAATTGCTGCCTCAACTTCAATCCGTCTTATTGGTCTATTCAGGGTTTCTACTTCTTCCTTGTTTAGGCTTTGGAGGGTGCAAGTGTCCAGGAATTTATCCATTTCTTCCAGATTTAGTGATTTATGTGCATAGAGTTGTTTGTAGTAATCTCAGATGGTAGTTTGTATTTCTGTGGAATTGGTAGTGATATCCTTTTTAACGTTTTTTCATTGCATCTATTTGATTCTTCTCTCTTTTGTTTTTTATTAATCTGGCTAGTGGTCTGTCTATTTTGTTGATCTTTTAAAAAAAAACACCTCCTGGATTTATTGATTTTTGAAGAGTTTTTTGTGTCTCTATCTCCTTCAGCTCTGCTCTGATCTTAGTTGTTTCTTGTCTTCTGCTAGCTTTTGAGTTTTTTTGATCTTGCTCCTCTAGCTCTTTCAATTTTGATGATAGGGTGTCGATTTTAGATCTTTCCTTGCTTCTCATGGGGGCATTTATTGCTATAAGTTTCCCTTTAGACACTGCTTTAAATGTACCCCAGAGATTCTGGTATGTTGTGTCTTCCTTCTCATTGAGATGTTTTGAAGAACATTTTTATTTCTGCTTTCATTTCATTGTTTATCCAGTCAACATTTAAGAGCCAGTTGTTCCGTTTCCATGAAGTTGTGTGGTTCTGAGTTAGTTTCTTAATCCTGAGTTCTAATTTGATTGCACTGTGGTCTGAGAGACTGTTATGATTTCCATTCTTTTGTGTTTGCTGAGGAGTGATTTACTTCCAATTATGTGGTAAATTTTAGAGAAGGTGTGATGTGGTGATGAGAAGAAGGTATATTCTGTGGATTTGGGGTGGAGAGTTCTGTAGATGTCTGTTAAGTTTGCTTGGTCCAGATCTGAGTTCAAGTCCTGGATATCCTTGTTAATTTTCTGTCTGGTTGATCTGTCTAATATTGACAGTGGAGTGTTAAAGTTTCCCACTATTACTGTGTGGGCATGTAAGTCTCTATGTATGTCATTAAGAACTTACTTTATGTATCTGGGTGCTCCTGTATTGGGTGCATATATATTTAGGATCATTAGCTCTTTGTGTTGCATTGATCCTTTTACCATTATATAATGCTCTTCTTTGTCTCTTTTGATCTTTGTTGGTTTAAAGTCTATTTTATCAGAGACTAGGATATTTTTTTCTCTTCATTTCCTTGGTAAATCTTCCTCCATCCCTTTATTTTGAGCCTATGTGTGTCCCTGCATGTGAGATGGGTTTCCTGTATACAGCACACCAATGGGTTTTGACTTTTTATACAATTTGCCAGTCTGTGTCTTTTGATTGGGGCATTTAGCCTATTTACATTTAGGGTTAATATTGTTAATGTGTGAATTTGATCCTGCCATTTTGATGCTAGCTGGTTGTTTTGCCTGTTAGTTGACACAGTTTCCTCATTGTGTCAATGCTCTTTACCATTTGGGACATTTTTGGAGTGGCTGGTACTGGTTGCATGGATTCATTTTCTCCATCACATTCAGGTACACCTATCCCATATTTCATGGAGGCTTTGTTCATTTCTTTTCACTCTTTCTTCTCTAATCTTGCCTTCTCATTTTCTTTCATTGAGTTGATCTTCAATCTCTGATATCCTTTCTTCTGCTTGGTCGATTTGGCTATTGAAACTTTTGTATGCTTCACGAAGTTCTCGTGTTGTGTTTTTCAACTCCATTAAGTCATTTATATTCTTCTCTAAGCTGTTTATTTTTGTTAGCATTGAAAAAGGTTTCATCAAACCTCTTTTCAAGGTTTTTAGTTTCTTTGCATTGGGTTAGAACATGTTCTTTTAGATCAGAGAAGTTTGTTATTACCCACCTTCTGAAGCCTGTTTCTGTCAATTTGCCAGATTCATTCTCTATCCAACTTTGTTCCCTTGCTGGCGAGGAGTTGTGATCCCTTGGAGGAGGAGAGGTGTTCTGGTTTTGGGTGTCTTCATCATTTTTGCACTGGTTTCTTCCTGTCTTTGTGGATTCATCTACCTGTGTTCTTTGTAGTTGGTGGCTTTTGGATGGGGTCTCTGAGTGGATGTCCTTTTTGTTGATGATGAAGTTATTTTTTTCTGTTTTTTATTTTTCCTTCTAACTGTCAGGTCCCTCTGCTGTAGGACTGCTGGAGGTCCACTCCAGATCCTGCTTGCCTGGGGATCACCTTTGGTGGCTGTAGAACAGTAAGGGTTGCTACCAGTTTCTTCTTCTGTTATCTTCATCCCAGAAGGATACCAGCCAGATGTCAGCCTGAGCCGTCCTTTATGAGGTGTCTCTTTGGATATACAGGAGTCAGGGAGCTGCTTAAGGAGACAGTCTGTCCCTTATAGGAGTTCAAGTGCTGAGCTGTGAGCTCCATTGTTCATTCAGAGCTGCTGGGCAGGTACGTTTATGTCTGCTGCAGTGGAACTCATAACTGCCTTTTTTCCCAGGTGCTCTGTCCTGGGAAGGTGGGGCTTTATTTATAAGTTCCTGATGTGCTGCTGCCTTTTTTCAGAGATGCCCTTCCCAGCTAGGAGGTAGCCTAGTCACAATCTGCCTGCAGTGGTGTTGCTGAGCTGCCATGGGCTCTGCCCAGCTGCTGTGTGAACTTCCTTGCGGTTTTGTTTACAGAGGTATAGTAAGAACTGCCTCAGTAATGGCAGACTGCCTCGGTAATGGTGGACTGCCTCAGCAGTGGTGGACTGCCTCAGTAAAGGCAGACTGCCTTGGTAATGGTGGACGTCCTTCTTCCCACAGAGCTGGACTGTCCTGGGTCCAGCTGTGCTTGCTGTGAAACTCAATCCAGAATATTTCAGATTGCTGGTCTTTGTAGGGGTGGGACCTGTTGAGCCAGATCACCTGGCTCCCTGTTTCAGCCCCTTTTTTTTTTTCAGTTGAATGGGCGGCTCAGTCTTCCAAGCATTCCAGGCTTCAGTTGAAATGCCTGCCCAGATTTGTGTGAGTTTTTGTGCAGAGACCCACTGCGCTGGCTGAAACAGCTGTGCTGGAAACTCATGGCACTTTTCAGCCAGGGAATCTCCTGGTCCGTGGGCAGTAATAACTCTTTTGAAAATGCAGTGATCACTCACTGTCTGCATTGTTCTCCCCGGGGACTGCACTCCAGAGCTGTTCCTATTCGGCCATCTTAGATTCCCTCCCCTCCACCCTGTTTATTTTCTAAAAGGTTCTCACATTCTTTTAATTAACTTCCACGAGGGGAGGGCAGAAATCAAATTAATAAGTCAGAAGGGAATGCTGCCATTTAGGGAAGAAATGAGCTTTGATGTGAAACAATCTTCAGTTCGGATCAACTCTCTAGCTGTGTGGCTTTAGGAAAGTTGTTTAACCTCTCTGAGCCTCAGTTTCTGTATCCAAAATGTGTGCATAGCAATCCTTTCCATTCAGGGTTCCTGTGAGAATTAAATGAGATTATGTAAGTCAATCTCTAGCTCAGTCCTTTTGTCTTAAATTAAATATGTCCACAAAATTTTGCAGCTCCTCCTATCAAGAGGTGAAGTTTATTTTCCTGTCGCTGAATATGGGCTGACCCTGTAAGTGGCGTTAACCAAAAGAATGTAGTAGAGGTGACATCATGCAACTAAACCTTAAGGGACAGTGCAACTTTCACCGGTGCCTTCCTGAAGCACCAGAGAATGCAGATCAGGAAACTGGTCTAGTCTTCTCCCAGGAAGGAGCATCAGGGTGTCCAATCAAGTGTCCCAGCACAGCTGCTAGACATGTGCCTGAGGTCATCTGGGGACCTTCCAGCTGAGACAAGCAGAAAATTACACAGCCAACTTACAGAATTGTAAGCAATTCTGCTTGATTTAAGTCATCATGTTTTGCAGGGATATTGTGTTATATAGCAGAGGCTACTTGAAACAGTCCTCAATATAGACTGGTTGAATTGAATAACTATAGAGGTTAAAATCCCTTGAAAAATACAGCACATGCTTTTAAGCACAAGCTGCTATTATTATTCATACTGACTAGTTATAATAAGAATACAATAAGAGGTAACAATGTAACAGTCATGGTTGTTTGATGCCTTCTTATTTCCTGTCCCCTGGGAGAAGACCACAGTCAGCTGGAACAGGATTTGACAGGCTCAAATAAGCAGCAACCTTCTTTGCACACAAACATTTTATATCGCTCTGTCTTTTCCTGTCTGTAATAGCTCTGCATCGCCTCACTGGGCCACCTGGGATGGTGCCACAGCTCCTATTAATATTGCCATACGTGGCAGCATTGCACTCGAGTGCCACGCTCTCAGCTGCCTGTGTGTGGCACAGTGCCTATTTTTAGTGTTTTACATCTATAATTATGTATGTTTCACTGCCTCTCAAATGCATATTTGCTCTGGGGAGAGGTTATGCTTATGTAATCTCCGCTATTTTTGATAGGACAAAATGTGTTATACCAACCTGCTAAGTCTCATTCAACTAGAGCAAACAGTCCAACAGTGTCTTCCTCACTCAAACTCCCATGTAAGCAGGAGTGATATTTGAGCCATTTTGAGTACTGGTAATGCATTGTCACTGACAAATCAGAATAGAACCAGCCATTACATCACACTGGTGTTTATAGCTCTGTTCTTAAGGGCCACTTTAGTCTACAAATCTATTCATGATTTTTACAAATTAACATTCCCTGCAAGGAAACCAGTCAACTGGGGAGGGGATCTTCATGTAATCCTGGTCTTATCCGGATGACATCAGCCTTGCTGACTGACTGAATCCATTTCCCAAAGCGTCATGTCCTTGGCCAAGAAGTTTCTCCAATGGAGTTTTCTAGCTCAGAAGGAAGAAGAACTGGCAAAGTCAAGACCAACTTGGTAGGCCTCAGTGAGGGAGATCTGGGGCCCAGGCCTAGCAGATGGAGCAGGTAACCTGGGGGAGGCCCCGACTATGGGGATGCTGCAGAGATCCAGGTAGGGAGATGGGTGCGGGCCAAAGCAGCTGAGCAGCCGGCAGTGGGAAGCAAGCAGATAGGAGCAGGATCCCAGGCCTGCAGAAACCAGATCACAAGATGCCCCGGGAAAGGGAATTCCACCTAGGGGATACACAGTCTTTTACTCATTTACTCACTCATTCTTGCATTCAGTGGACATGGACAGAATTGTCTACTGGGAGGCAGATACTGCCCTAGTAGCCAGGGAAACAGATAAAAACATCTAGCTTACTTACAAGTTATCTGTTTTTCCCTATGTATTAAAATGTTTAAGTAGAAAACTTAGAAAATGCAGAAAAGAATAAAGAAGAAACTTTACTTTCTGCATTGTCTTCTCTCAGAGACCATCCTTGTTAATGTCTGGCTTATCTTCTGATTTGTACATAATACATACTTTTTAACCTCAGAATTGGGATTGTGTGATATCAACTATTTTTCACTCAGTATTATATTTCCAGAAGCTTCTTACATCTCTAATAGTTTTTGTGAATATGACTTTTAATAGATGCAGAAAATCTCATTTTGGGGACTTGCTATAAATTATTTAATGGCCCTCAATTCTCATAAATGTTGTCTCCAAATAAAAAAATTTGTATCCCCTTAAAATTGTCATTTATGGCTGGGCATGGTGGCTCATGCCTGTGATCCTAACACTTTGGAAGGCCAAGGAGTGTGGATCACCTGAGGTCAGGAGTTCGAGATAAGCCTGGCCAACATGGCAAAACCCAGTCTCTACTAAAAATACAAAAATGAATGGAGCATGATGGCAGGTGCCTGCAATCCCAGCTACTCAGGAGGCTGAGGCAGGAGAATAGGTTGAATCCCGGGAGGTGGAGGTTGCAGTGAGCCGAGATTGCCCCACTGCACTCTAGCTTGGGTGACAGAATGAGACTCCATATCAAATTTAAAAAAATTGTCATTTATATGACAGAAAAACATGCCATCTACTATCTTCATGAAAAATGAAACTAAACAGAGTGGTGGTCTCTTCTATTGGAGAAGTATATCAGAACACTAGTGAAAGTTATAGTACTATATCAAATAACCTTAATTAGCTCTAGTTTGTAAAAAAAATTTCAAACTTCCATACTTTTTCATACATTATTTTCACTATTATAACTATCAAAATAATAATAATCATCATTGGCAAGAGTACAGAAAAATGAACACTTACATATGTCTATTGAGAGTTCAAATTCCATTATGTTAAAAGATTTTAAAATGCTCAGACCCAGCATTGACCTTCTAAGAATTTGTTAAGAAATTAATATTAAATATGTGTACAAAGATTTATGAAAAACAATATTTATATCAGCATTATTTTTGTGCTTAATACAGAGTAACTTCTAAAAATGGAAGCTATAATTACCAGTACTAGCATCACCAACTCCTTTTCCAGCCCCATCTGGCTTTTAGAGTAAGAATGTTATAATTAATACATTTTTACATTGGGTATCATCTCTTTCAAGAATTATTTTTTGACACTTACATTGTTTTATAATCATGTTAACTGCAATTATTGAGAAATTAACTTTAAATTTCTTGGTTCTCTATTAAGCAAGGTTTCTTTTATATTGCTTTTCCTCACATCTGAATTATTTATTTTGCTTCATTTTTCAGCCACCTGGAGCATTTCTTTGATGATTTTTGTTTTCAAGACATAATAGCCACAACAAATGTTGCTTGTGACTCCGTCCCCATAAAATTACCCACACACTTTGGGAGGGCTATGACTGGGATTGCAGGCACCATCCCAGGAGCAGAAGCACAAAAACAATTACGAATATACAAGACTGGTACCTTGGCTCCATATAGTCTTAGTTACCAATCTCAATCCTTTGAAAGCCTTTGGATTTTGATAATATTTTATTTTAGAATTTACTAAGAAGTGTGACCTAGTGCCATTTCTTTCTTTCTTCTTTTGTAGGTAGTTTGGGTGTTTCTACCCCCACCCCGGGGGACTAAATGATTATAGGATTTTACATTTTTTGTTCTTGAAATGCAAACATTTTAGCCATCTATGTATCAAAGAGCTCTTAGAGGGGACAGAAAATCTTTTCTTAGAAGGCCATACGGCTTTCTAAGCAGGTCATAGGGTCTGCAGTGGCGAGCATGCAATTCTGCTGTTGTAGCAGGAAACCCACCAGAACCAAAGCATAAATGAGCAGGCATGGCTATTTTCCAATAAAAGTTTATTTACAAAAGCAGAAAAACAGCCTTCTGGGGCAGTTTGCCTCTAGATTCTACAGACCCAAGTCTTCCTTCAGCTTGGGGAAATTTTCTGTCATATCTTGAGTTATTTTTTCTCTTTCATTTGCTCTGTTGCCACCATTTAAAATCTTACATAGTGAATTGATCTTTACATCTAGCTTCCTTTCTAGGATCCTCTCCCCTTTTTCTTTCTCTCTCTCTGTTCTCATTTTCTCCATTTCTTGCCTTGTTTTCACTGATTCTGGGAGGATTTCTTGAGCTTACTTCTAAATTCACAGATTCTGCTTTCTGTTCCATTCAATCTGCTTTGTATTGCCTTCATAGCACTAGCAAATTTCCGTGATTATGCTTTTCTCTTTTTTTAAATTGCACTTTAGGTTTTGGGGTACATGTGAAGAACATGTATGATTGTTGCATAGGTACACACATGGCATTGTGATTTGCTGCCTTCCTCCCCATCACCTATACCTGGCATTTCTCCCCATGCTATCTCTCCCCAACTCCCCACCCCCTGCTGCCCCTCCCCTATTTCCCCGTGACAGACCCCAGTGTGTGATGCTCCCCTCCCTGTGTCCATGTGTTCTCCTTGTTCGACACCCGCCTATGAGTGAGACCATGTGGTGTTTGATTTTCTGTTCTTGTGTCAGTTTGCTAAGAATGGTGGTTTCCAGGTTCATCCATGTTCCTACAAAGGACACGAACTCATCGTTTTTGATGGCTGCATAGTGTTCCATGGTGTATATGTGCCACATTTTCCTTGTCCAGTCTATTATTGATGGGCATTTGGGTTGGTTCCAGGTCTTTGCTATTGTAAACAGTGCTGCAATGAACATTCGTGTGCACGCTTCCTTATAGTAGAATGATTTATACTCATTTGGTTATATACCCAGTAATGGGATTGCTGGGACAAATGGAATTTCTATTTCTAGGTCCTTGAGGAATCGCCACATTGTCTTCCACAATGGTTGAACTAATTTACACTCCCACCAACAGTGTAAAAGTGTTCCTATTTTTCCACATCGTCTCCAGCATCTGTTGTCTCCAGATTTTTGATTATGCTTTTCATTGGGAAACTTTCTTTCTGGATTTCAGGGATTCCCATTAAAAGAAACAATATCTCTAATCTTATGGGAAATACCAACATCAGAGATCATTTTTACCCTTGTTTATTGGTACAGTTTCATATCATAAGAGAGTATTTGTTTTGATTTCTCAAAATAAGCTCTGTTTCTTAAATCACTGAACCTTT